TTGCCTTCTGCAAATCTAAAGGCCCTTTCTTTCCATGGAAGGCTTCTGATTCATAGGAGGAATCTCCCCTCTGGGTTGGGAAGAAACTGATACTGGACAATTCCTCTCAACCTCCTGCACATGACCTTTGAAAGCTCTGCTCCCAGGGATGAGGGCACTGAATGGATGAAGGCATTGAACATGGTGCAGCGGGAGGGTAAAGTAAGTGTTGACTGCTTCCTCCTGTTATCCTTTTAGCCAGTGCAAGCAGGGCTAATCAGCAATGGAACTACACAGCCCAATCCAGATCATACTGCTAATAGTGAGTTTTATAACCAGCCACAAATTGTACCTGCTAGGGTAAACTATGTACAAGATTTGCTCCTGACCCTTAAACATGACTGTATCCAGACTTAAGATTCTCCAGTCCAAAATATGTTTGCATAGTTTGGGGAAAAGACACCAAGTGGCATTTGATTACTAGAAAATCAAGGGGCACTACTCTTTTGTGGGATGTGAAAAATGCAAAATGTATCAGAACAGACCTACATGCATTATTTTATTATTTTTTTAAAAAAATTTAAACCCACCTTTGTCCTTAAAAAGGACGCAAGGCAGCTTATAAAAATTAAAAAACAGTTAAATTAGTAACAATGCGTATGCTATGCTAAAAGGATCAATACCAAAAATCATAAGCAACACCAAAATACATTCAATGCAGTAAGGTACAACAATCCATTTTAAAACCCCACTTGGCAGCCATTCACTCAGGGAAAGCTTGCTTGAAGAGAAAGGTGTTTTTCCGCTTGCGGAAGGACGGTAAAGATGAGGCTAGTCTCTTTTGCTTAAGATTATTTCAAGCGATTTCCAGAGCTTGCAAATATTATTTATTTGCTTATTACATTTATATCCTGCCTTGTCTTCCAGTGAGTTAAAGACAACTCTGCATGACTCTCCTTCTTCCTACTTTACTCTCACAACAACACTGTGAGGTAGGTTAGGTTAAGAAAATGTGACCAGCCCAAGGTTGTCAAATGATCTTCATGGCAGAACAGAGATTTGAACCCAGTTTCCAACTCCCTAGCTACTAACACCCAAATAACATCTCCCGCAACAATACTGTACCCCCCTCTTTTCAGGTAACAAAGGTGTAACCAAATTACATTTGAAAACATGACACAGACTGAGATCAAACTTATTTCACTGGTTTTCTAATTTCAATTGTAACAATATTTATTTTTTAAAAAATACTGAGTAATGCAACAAATATTTGAACATGTTACTTTCAACAGTGCAACAAATAATGATAGCTAATTTTTTTGTGAAGGAATTACTTTTTAAAAGTGATTTTCCAAGCTCTAGTTGTTGCTTCATTCATTTCAAATTATGCCTAACCCATTGCTATATTCCACAGGGTTGACAGCGCAGCTGGAGATAACACACTTTTAAGGTGTTTTTCATAACTTAGTGGACTCGAGACATCCAACTGCTGTAGCCACCCTTTAAGAGAGGAACCAATGGAGCATTGTTAAATATGGCATTACAGATCTTTGGTAAAGACACAATTCAGCAAGACACATCTTAATTTCAGTAGGATGAAGTCATACTTAATACAGTACTCTCTTTGACAGGGATTAATGGGGCAGATACAGGATCTGAATTTTGTAGCCACAAAAGACACATCTTGGTTCAAACCTACTGATTCCAGCAGAATCATGGAATTCTGCTCAGTCTTCCTACACCACAACACATTTAACATTAAACAACAGGCATGAGCAAGTGAGTACGCTGCTCTTAGATGAGCATGAGGGTGGGTGAGAGAGGTCATAAGGGAGTCCTCGTCTGCCAGACCAGTTGAATAGATCTGAAATCAAGACCCAACTCAGTAAGGCTTAAACACTGCCGCTGCTGCACCTTAAAAAGTTGATAAAATGCATTTCTCTCCCTTGCACATTGTTACCACGCTAACATGGATGCTGTTCTCTCTTTCCTGCTAGAGAATTTGAGTCATATGTTTTTCATGGGCTGAAAAGCAATTTTGTTAATCAGTTGCATTAAGAAACAGAAGTGAGTAAATAAGTGTGCTGCTCTAAGCTTGAGTAAATTGCCTTTGTGGCACTTTTACCCACTGTTGTGCACTAAGTGGTGTTCAAGACTTTGGCATACTATTTAACAACAATTAAATTGCTTGGCTCTCATGTCTGCAGTCACAGAATGCATTTCTCCTAATAAGAATGTGTCTGTGAAGTAGAAAGAAATATGTATGTAAGAATAGTATTGAAAATTCAGTGTATTTCTTAAGATTCCTCCTCTTAAGAGGAGTTTCAGTACAGTCCTATTTACACAACAGGGAAAGCAAAGTGTACTGCTTATATACCACCCCATAGCGCTTAAAGCACTCTCTGGGCAATCTGCAATTTAATTATGCAGGCTACAAACACCCCCTCCCAGCAAACTGGGTACTCAGTTTAGCAACCTCAGAAAGATGGAAGTCTGAGTGTACCTCGAGCCAACTGCCTGAGATTAAACCCAGTTCACGATCAGAGGTTTGGCTAACCACTGTGCCAAAGTGGAACAGAACAGCAAAGCAGTGGCTGCATCTTATCTGAATTGGCAAGAATTCCGGTTCTGAGAATTTCCAGCTATCTTGTTCTAGCACTGGGCAAAGGGCATCAGTATTTAACTGCAAAAAAGCCATATTGTGGCAGCATATCTATATACAATTTTTATTGGATTCATATATACATATTTTGCTGTCTTTCCAATTTAAGAAAATTGTACTTTTTTAGAGTTCTTTTACAGGGCAATGTTAGCGCTTTTGGGTTCCACCCCCTCCTGAAATACAGTACAATGTAACTTCTACTGTATCTAGAACACTAGTTCCCCTTTCCCAGTACAATGTAACTTCTACTGTATCTAGAGCACTAGTTCCCCTTTCCTGTGCCTTCAATATTAACAACATCCATATACAAAGAAAAAGAGACTCAAAGACTCTACTAGCACTGTGCACAAAGACATGTAAGACCTATTTGATCTGGTTGATATGTGTGTGTATATTTCAAGATAGTCAGAAAACTGTGTCCAAAAAACCACAGTGTCATAATTAAAGACAACAGTGACTTAGGGAAGATTGACTTGGAAATGGATTTCATATATACTTACGAAATATACTCACTAAAACGTTGGTCCCAGTCAACATAGCATGTGAAAATTCGAAGCAAATGTATTAAGGATCAGACTATGTAACTATTGAAATAACTCAACCACAGTGATGACGTGACAGACTGATGATGTCTGTTGCCAGAAAATATAGTCATTATTAGCTGCATCTCCTTCCCAAGGGAAATTCTGATCCTCCTTCCACTCCAGAATAGTATATTTGCATGCTAACTTTCCCCTTTCAAATGTGTCATCAAACAACCCCCAAATGCAAAGGGCGAACTCTCCAGCTTGTCCATAACCAAAGTTTTCCAGCTCTTCTCTGAGAAAGAAAGAGAAAAATGCAAACTTGGTCCATCTTTTCTTGCTGTTCGTAGCACTGGCCTCTTCCAGTTAACAAACAGGAGAAAGGACTGGCTACAGCAGTCTTGTCTCAGGCCTCCCTGTGCTTCTAGCCCTGCTCTGTTTCAAGAAACCCAAAGCATTTGATAATTAACCCTAAGTAGCTTGAGTCCAGGATACTAGAAGGATATTTGCCTTTTCCTCTCCTGGTCTGCATCTTGTTTCCTGTCCTATAGAGAGGAAATTCTCTGTATCATGCATTTGCTGAAAGGGCAGTTACCTTTTTCAGTACATGCACTCAGACTGTGACACAGCTTGCCCATTAGATTCACCCCTCTCCCAACACACTGGAAAGCTTCTGTCTTGTTGGGCAGATAGTATTTTTATGTAGGAAACTGTTTTTATGTGCTGAGCCACATTTCTTAGTTTATTGTTTACTATCTCATATGTGACATTTTAATGGACTGACTGACTTGTTGATTTGTGTTTGAATATTGTTTATCTGTTTTTGTTTTGTATGCTTTGCTGTAAACCACCCAGAGTGTGTGTTGCAATATGAGGAGGTATATAAGTAGAAATAACAAACAAACAAGACACTATAGGCAGTACAAACAGATAAGCAGGGTGCTTTACAGAGTCCATGTCCCACCTTTTAAAACACCATATTAATAACATATGCCAATGAAGACAGTAGCCTCTATATAACCCTTAAGAGAGTGCTGCTACAGTGAATTATTATTTATATCACATTCGTCACCTCTCTTGAGAAATCTAAAGCTCTGAATGACAACCACTGCCAGAGCAAATGATTCTACTCGATTTCATGGGGTGGATTTTTTCCTTCTTCTTCAAGTAAACTACTGTACTCTGACGTTTTCTGAGGGTCATAAATCAAAGTGACCCGTAATTAAACCTAACTAGGTCCTTTGAGGCATTCCCGGTAAGCCTCCCATCCTCACTTTGGCCTCGATCCACCTCATGCCCCTCTGTCACGCCAATAGCCAACCACACGAGCAGCACCAAGAACTCCGAGAAATCGGTGCCCAGTTGATCGACGGGAAAGAGATTCTTGTCAAGGCATTTTTTTTAAAATTTTTAAGCGGCGGCTAAACCAGAGGTCAAGCGATCCGCGTGATCAGACTCTCGGTGGGCACGGGCACGTTCGGGGCTGTCCAGGAAAGGCAAAGCTGGCTGCCACGGGCACGTACAAACACACACACAAACACACACTCCCCCACCCCGGTATGCCACAGCGTCCGACGGAAGCCAAGACACGGGACAGCAGGAGCAGAGCAACCGCCTCGCGGGAAGCAGGCGCTGGCGCAGCCCCAGAGGAGGGGATCGCTGCCACGCAGCCAGGGTGGAGCTCTCGACGGCCTCCGGCCGGGAAAAGGACCGGGAGAGCCTCAAACCCCAAAGGCTTCGCTTCCTCCACCTCTCCTATTATTTCCCACAGCTGAGGATTGTGTGTGGGGTGGGGAGAGAGAGAGACCCCGACGCCCGCCCCACGTCCCCCTTACCTGGCCTGCACAGCAGGGCGCGGACATGCTGGCGACAGAGCGA